TTGTGGTCTGGCGGCGCAAGCCATCGTGGCCTTTCACGGCGGCAACTGCCGCGAGCTCTACCATATCCTGGAAAACCACAAGTTCACCAAGGAGTCGCACGCCAAGCTGCAGGCGCTGTGGCTTGAAGCACACTACCAGGAGGCTGAGAAGCTGCGCGGAAGGCCCCTGGGGCCGGTGGACAAGTACCGCGTGAGGAAGAAGTTCCCGCTGCCGCGCACTATTTGGGACGGGGAACAGAAGACACACTGCTTCAAGGAGCGCACGCGGCACCTGCTGCGGGAATGGTACCTGCAGGACCCATACCCCAACCCCAGCAAAAAACGTGAGCTCGCCCAGGCAACCGGACTGACTCCCACCCAGGTGGGCAACTGGTTCAAAAACCGCCGGCAAAGGGACCGGGCGGCTGCCGCCAAGAACAGGTCGGTATCTGGAGGCCTCCCCGCTTTGAGCGCACCGGGAAGGGGGCGGGGGGAGGCATACCAGGCGCCCTTACCCGGCGGATCAGCGGGAGTCCGAGCGCAGTCTGCCTACTGACTGCGTTCTGGAATGGTAGTTGAGGGAGTTCCTTTCGAGGCTTCTGGTTCTCCACCCTCTCCGCGCCTCAGGGTCTCTGCAGCAGCTGGTCCCAGTCACCATATCAAGGCTTCTTTGGGCCTGAGGGTGGGGCGTGAGAGAAATAAAAATTAAAATCCTAGAAACAATGAGGGACCCCAGAGTCCAAAGCTAATTCGTCAGCTTGGGCCCAGGACCCGAAGTGAAGCCTGGCTTATTAGCAATGTGTCAGTTTCATGCTATCATTTTTTAAAGCCCCGGAGCATCCCTCTCTAAGGCTTTGAAAACAGTTTTCTGTGGACTCTTTTTTCTGAGAAGTGAGAAGTCGAGTTCTCCTCTTCCCACGCGCGGCCAGCCTTGTTCAAAACCGCAAACTAGCCAGCCGACGCTTTTCATTCTCCAGCGTGTGGCTCTCCACTAGCCAAACATTTTGGCCAAGAGCCCAGCCTTGTCCCCCAGGCTCAAGTGCTCTGTGCAACCCTCAGACAACCCCTTTTTGCCTTTAGCTCGCCGACTTGGGCCGGGGGTGGGGGGGGGTGCATAATCAAGCATGCGCCCAAGGGAGACAGCACAACTGCAAGGGGGTAGGGGTTTCCATGTCCCAGAGCCTGCTGCCCTTATCATCCATGCCTCGGCTGTTTCCTGACAGTCCTGTAAATCTCCCAAAGGTCAGCCACAACGGAGAAAGACCCTATGAGCTCAGCATCCCGAAGACCGGGAGGTGGGGAGCGCCGAAGGGCACCAAGGAGGGTGGGACAACTGCAGGGCTCTGAGGAGAGGTGGCTCCACACTCTGGCCCGACCTTTGTCACCTCTCCTTCGCCTTATGTGTCCAGGTTTGGAGGGAGAGCAGATGGGATGGGGATGGGGGGCCGGCGGGCGGCTAAGCTACGCGCTATGACCTGTGTCCCCTTCCTTCCCTGTAGACTCCAGCAGCAGGTCCTGTCGCAGGGCTCCGGGAGGGCGTTACGGGCAGAGGGCGAGGGCACGCCAGAGGTGCTGGGCGTCGCCGCTAGCCCGGCGGCCAGTCTATCCAGCAAGGCGGCCACTTCGGCCATCTCCATCACATCCAGCGACAGCGAGTGCGACATCTGAGCGGCTCACCCCGCACGTTCAGAAATAGAATCCGTTGTAAAACAAAACAAAAACAGAAACGAGATAAACAAAATGAAGGCGAGAGAGAGAGAGGAAAGGAGACCGGCAAATCCGGCGTCTGCGAAGCCAGGTGGCCAAGGACCCGCGGACTCTGCTTGTCGCGGCCGACCCGCGGCCGACCCGGCTCCACTGCTACCCTCGGGCCGCAGCCACAGGGGCCCGCGGGGAGGCCGAATCCAGCGCCACGTTCTCATCGCTTTGCTTTTTCCTAAGGATTTTGCTGCAGAGACGCATTCGGAACCGAACTGCACGCTGAGCGCCTGCTCGGAGTCTCTCGTGGGTATTTCACGTCGAAAGGACGCTGTTATATATGTATAACTTTTGCTTTAAAGTTTTTTTTAAACAAAACATATATATGCTGTTTATTACTTATTTAAGAGACTGCCGTGGTAGGTTTCTCTGTAGCCTGGGGGAACTTGCTGTTTCTAAACTAGCAGGATGGCGCTGATGGGTTCTGCCGGGAGAAACCAAACAATAAAACAACCTGGTGGGCAACCTTTCTTAATCAAGGGAGCTGCTCTCAGATTCCTAAAAGTTAATGATAAAAATTCATAAACTAAATAAGGAAGATCATTCACTTCTCTGGGCAGGCAGGGACCCTTACACAAATGGTGTCAGGAAGATCTTCTCTATATATTTTGCCTTCTCTGTAGTCTCCTGTTATATTTTTTAAACAGCCCATGCCCATGTTGGGCCATAACCATCTCCCACATCAAATCTTTGGCATATGTATGTTTACACAGTGTGTGTATGTATGTTCCCACACACATACATATTATAATGTATTTCAACGTAAACATCGGTGATATGAGCATCTCCGGTAAGCCAACCACCCACGACCACAGCACAGGTAGGTAACTATAGTTTGTCCACCTGATACTTGTTTTTATAAAGTGTCAATGGCTTTCAGGAAAAAATTTAGGAAACCAAATTCTGAAACGCATGTAGTTAGTCCTATTTTATAAAATTACAAAACTCTCCTGACACAGGCTCTCCAAGGAGAAAAGGCTTCTCATCTCTTCTTAAGCTCCTCCTTGTGCAAAAGCAGTGGGCACCCACGATCATGCTAGAGGAAGCACTTATAGCATTTGAGATGGAGGTTTTATTAAAATAAGACAAGAGAAGATAGGAGACATTAACTATATAGACTAGCATCTTGCTGCAGAAACAGGTTTTAATCAAACCAATTGTTTTCAACGAGAGAGATACTGAGCTGGGGAAAGGATATAATTGTTTCACACATTGAGGATAAACAGAAAAAAAAATCTTCTGTAAAAAAAAAGTGAAAAGACTTGCATTTTAAAAATCTGATGTCTACATTAAACACGAAATGAATCATCAAGAGCCTCATTGTCCTGGTAATGGCCTCAGTTAAAAATATAAAATATTTTTAGCCTTTAATTTTTCCTTTAACCCTCCCTGTATACACATCATGCACACAAGAAAATCAAACAAAACAAAAACCGCCTAGCATCCTTGCACTAAGAAGGCAAATGCTATCTAGAGAATCTGTAAGCTTTTCCCTAATGAAACAGATTGTATATTATAAAATTTGACATTGATCTTTAAATCACTTGAGCTGGACTTCCCACGGCCCACTCCCATTAGAGCCCTCTGAATTTGTCTCTGGGTCCTTAGAAGATGGTCTTGGGATCAGAAGCCTTCATTCAGCAGAAGTGTCAAAGTGAAAAACCAAACAAAAATAAGTGAAATCATGGAAGATAAAAAGTAGTGAAATGGCATGATATGGAGTGGACCCTTAGAACATAAGAGTTGTTTATGGGTTTCTAAATCACTTAAACAGATTTGGTTCATCTGGACTTTATAATGGTTGTCATTGTTTACAGTGGCCCTTACCCAGAGAGTTTTTGAAAGTAAAACTCTCCTTGCACAAGAGCTTTAGCTGGCAGGAGCAGGGAAGTCTGTGATGAAGCTAGTGTTCTTCCCCAAAGCAAGTAAATGTTCTTTCGTGGGTCCGGAAAGGCTCAGAAGACAGAACTTCCCCGAAGACTCAACTTTGTTTCCTTGAGCCCCTCTGAGTCCCAAGAATGCTATAGGGGCAGGCCAAAACTCTTTCTTGCAAGCAAGGGAGGCATCTAGAGTACAAAATACAAGATACTCTCAAGGTCAGGCAAGTATAGCAAGTGCAAGTCACCTGCAAGGCACCTGGGATTGAGCGCCTCCTTAAAATTTGCACTCTAGGTGCTTCCCTGTCTCACGCTGGTCCTGAATTTGCCAAGGAGTAATGCACTTAAACAAAAAGTCCAGATAATTCCAATTCTGTTCCCAGTTTCACTCTATCCTAGCTAGGAGCTGTCCACAACTAGCATTTAGAGAAGTTAGTTGGCAAATGTTATCTCTTCCGTGGATGCTTCCTGTTCCAAGAGGAAAGGGACTAATCTGTGGGATAGTGTAAAGGAATTTGAGGTTATAAAAGTTCCATCCCACTAACCCATTCCAATGATGCTTACAAGCAGAAGGAAATGTGTACTCTGCACTCTCAAGAAAATAACACTGCTAGGAACTAAGCATTCTCTTTTCAAAATAATTGTTAATGACACTTAATTGCTTGGTGAAAAAGAGAAGGCCACACAGCGATGGAGGTTTTTTTTTTTTTCCTTCCTGCTTTGTCAATATTTAAAATGTATCTAACATCATTTACTTCAATTAACATGCTGCCTAAGGATTATATTTTAAAGTAGCTATTCTGTTTCAACAATTGGAGATTGATTTCTCTAATTTAATTTTACACTCTTAAAGGCATGATGCACTACTTAAAAGATTTTTAAAAAATCTTTACTTGAAATCTAGTATCACCTGTGAATAATCAATTCTTCAGTGGCCACGAGTTGAAAATTAGTCCAAATCTTCACCCAGAAATTTATTTTAACCAGCAAATCTTCCCATGCACATGAATCGTAAAGAGTTTAAGATTTTTTTCCTTATCAATTTTGTGTAGAGAGTTTTTTTTTTTATTTATTTATTTTGAATCTTCTAAAATTTTCCTGCCACGATTTCCCCCAAAGCAGTTTTCCGGCAAAGTGGAAAGAAGCATTTTTATATTTCAACGGCCTGACCAATGCGAGGATTTTTACCCCAAAATCCAGGCTCTCTGAAGTATTTTATAAACAATTCAATCACTTTCCAGTTCCACCAAAACACAAACAAAAAAAATCACAACGGCCCCGGCTCCCCAAATGCAGCCATTCCCGTCCCTTCACTTTAATGACCCACTCGGCTCCCACCCACCCCCACCTTTCCCTTCACGGGTTTGTTTATAAAAATCTGGGAGGGAGGGGAAGAGAGGCTGGGGGTGGGGAGGACTTGCTCTTTGTTTACATTAAACAAATGACAAGCAAAGAGCTCAAACAAAGTCTTCCTTGACCTCGTTCTTTCTCCCTAATTTTAACAAAAAGGAAAAAAAATATTGTATCCAAAGAGAACGTGAATGGGGCGGGAGGAGAAGAGAAGCAGCTTTTCGCCCTATTCAGCCGGGACGCGGAGCGCGGACGATTTCCGCTCCCATTGTGAGGCGGGGCCGGGGGCGGCGGTGAATGGGGGG